AGCCACCATGTCTGGCTGATAAAATATATTTGGAATGTAAAACATGCTGGGGAAAGACATAAAGCTGAGAAGGGGCACAGGGCACGTGAGGGGCTCTGTTGTATGCGGTGGTCAGCAGAGCTGACGTTTGAGTAAAGGCCTGGAGGAGGTCAGCGAGGAGCCACACAGGTGTCAGAAGAGAAAAGTTCGGGAAGAGGGAACAGCTGTGCAGAGGTCCTGGGGTAGAATTGCGCCTGGTTTGTTCAGGGTGCAGGGTTGGGTGGAGTGTGGCTGGAGGAGAGTGAGAGAGGGCTGTGTGGGAGGAGACATGAGGACGGGGTCGCGGGACCAGATATTGCTGGGCCTTGGAGGCTGTTGTTACGAGGGCCTCTCTGACTCCCCTTACTCTGGCCTCCTCTCTCCTCCACAGAGCTCCCCGATCCAGGAATCCTCCACCACTCCCGAGCTGCCTTCGGAGACCCAGGAGACCCCAGGCCCCGCCCTGTGCAGGTGACACCCCTCCCCGGCCCCTTGCCCACCACCCCTGGTTGCCTGGTTTCCTGTTCCCATCAGTGGCCTCTCTCCACAGCCCTCTGAGGAAGTCACCTCTGACCCTCGAGGATTTCAAGTTCCTGGCAGTGCTGGGCCGGGGTCACTTTGGGAAGGTGAGGTGGAGGGCAGGGAACTGGGGGGCTGAGAGTCCAGACCCCCATGTCTCTGGCTGGCTACTAAAACCACCCCTGCCCACTCTGGTTCCAGGTGCTGCTCTCCGAATTCCGGTCCAGTGGGGAGCTGTTCGCCATCAAGGCTTTGAAGAAAGGGGACATTGTGGCCCGAGACGAGGTGGAGAGGTGGGGACCTGCTCTGGTCCTCTGGGGACCTTGTTTCCTCTTTTGGGAAATGGGAGACAAAGCAGTTCTCTCCCTGTGGCTGTAGGGAGAGTGACTCATAGTTGTTATTAACGCCAGGCGCGGTGGCTCTCGCCTGTAATCCCAGCACTCTGGGAGGCCAAGGCAGGCAGATCCCTTGGGTTCAGAAGTTCAGGACCAGGCCGGGCAACGTGATGACACCCCCATCTCTACAAAAACAGAATAATTAGGCAGGCGTGGTGGCACATGCTTGTAGTTCTAGCTACTCATGAGGCTGAGATAGGAGGATGGCCTGAGCCCAGTAGGTGAAGGTTGCAGGGAGCTGAGGTTGCGCCACTACACTCCAGCCTCGGCAACAGAGTGAGGCCCTGTCTCAAAAGAAAGTCATTAATACCTACCAGCCTAGGCCAGGCGCGGGGGCTCACACCTGTAATTTCAGCACTTTGGGAAGCCGAGGGGGGTGGATCACGAGGTCAGGAGATCAAAACCAGCCTGGCCAAGATGGTGAAACCCTGTCTCTACTAAAAATACAATAATTAGCCAGGCGCAGTGGCAGGCGCCTGTAATCCCAGCTACTTGGGAGGCTGAGGCAGGAGAATCGCTTGAACCCAGGAGGTGGAGGTTGCAATGAGCTGATTTCACGCCAGTGCACTCCAGCCCGACTTTGCCTTCCACACGGTTGTCAGGTGCTCTACACAATGCCTCACCCCTCTACACATTTGGTACAGGCACCAAGACTGCCCTTGGTCTTCCCAGCATCCTTTTGATAATCAGGAACCCAACTCAGAAAGACTGAAACAAGTAAAGAAATTTATTGGTCTGGATAAGAAAAGTTCAGGAGAGTGCTGCCTTCAGGCACGGCTGTATCCAGGTGCTGAGATGACGTTTCTCAGTTCTGCTTTCTTCTGTGTGGGCTTTGCTTGCCTTCTGGGAGTCTGAGGTAAGGGGTGGCCATATTCTCTGACCCCTGCCTTCTGCCCCTCCCCAGCCTGATGTGTGAGAAGCGGATCTTGGCAGCAGTGACCAGCGCAGGACACCCCTTTCTGGTGAACCTCTTCGGCTGTTTCCAGACACCGGAGCACGTGTGCTTCGTGATGGAGTACTCAGCCGGCGGGGACCTGATGCTGCACATCCACAGTGATGTGTTCTCCGAGCCCCGTGCCGTGTGAGCCGAGTCCCCCAGGCTGGGCCCCTGCCTCCCACCCCAGCATCTGACACCTCAGTTCCCCCAAGAGGCTGGCAGTCTGCTGCTCGCCTCTCCACCCTCAGGCCTTGGAGCTTTGGGGAGACTGGGGGACTTTTGAGGATGTGGGAGCCAGGCTTATGTAACCCTCCCTGCTGGTAGGGTGGCCCCGCCCCGCTCAGCAGCCTCTGTCTCTCTGCAGCTTTTATTCTGCCTGCGTGGTGCTGGGCCTACAGTTTCTTCATGAACACAAAATCGTCTACAGGTGTGTGCCTGTGTGCGTGCATGTGCACACTGCCCGCTGTGGGAAGAGGCCGCCGACCCCCACTCATCCCTCTTTCCACCCACACAGGGACCTGAAGTTGGACAATTTGCTCCTGGACACTGAGGGCTACGTCAAGATCGCAGACTTTGGCCTCTGCAAGGAGGGTGAGGGCTGGCCTCAGGATTAGACACAGGATGGGGGACGGAATGGGGTCCCTAATGCTACTCGGGGTACCCCCCACCCTGACCCTGGGACAGGGCAGGCTGTGTGGACGACCCTACATTGGGCTGAGTGACTCCTCCGGCCCCCATAACCTCACATGCCCTTCTATCCGCAGGGATGGGCTATGGGGACCGGACCAGCACATTCTGTGGAACCCCAGAGTTCCTGGCCCCTGAGGTGCTGACGGACACGTCGTACACGCGGGCCGTGGACTGGTGGGGGCTGGGTGTGCTGCTCTACGAGATGCTGGTTGGTGAGGTAAGGCCCTGCCCCTGTGTGCCTCACATGCCACTGGAACCTGTGTGTGCCAGGGGGTGGGATCCAAGTCTGCCTCCACCACATGCTGTGTGATTGAGGGCTGCTGTCTCTGCCTCTCTGGCCTATTTCCATATCTATAAAATGGGACATTTCCCTGCCTGAGTAAACCAGCACCCAAGAGCTGCAGCAGAGCCGAGGGCTCAGGCCGGGCTGGGTCTGGAGCAGCCAGAGGAGGGTCCTCATTCACCCCGGGCCTCCCTCTCCCCAGTCCCCATTCCCAGGGGATGACGAGGAGGAGGTCTTTGACAGCATCGTCAATGATGAGGTTCGCTACCCCCGTTTCCTGTCTGCCGAAGCCATCGGCATCATGAGAAGGGTGAGGATCCTCGCTGTGAGGTGGGCCTGGGGAGGGACTGGAAGGGGACAGATCCTGACACAGTGCTCCTTCCTCCAAGCTGCTGCGGAGGAACCCAGAGCGGAGGCTGGGATCCAGCGAGAGAGATGCGGAGGATGTGAAGAAACAGCCCTTCTTCAGGGTGAGGTTCCCTCAGGGACCCCAACCACCCAGCCCCCTCCTAGGGCCAGTTCATCGCCCCATGCCCGATGCCCCCCCAGACTAGTCGCTTTGCCTCCTGCACCTCCAGGGCAACATCATCACCTCCTCTGACCCTCTGATTCCCTCCCCTACTTTTGTTCCCTTCAGGGACCCTCCTAATCCCTTTTTTCTTAATCTCCACTTTTTTCTCTTTTTAATTTTTTTTTTGAGCCACGGTCTCACTCTGTCTCCCAGGCTGAAATGCAATGGTGCAATCTCAGCTCACTGCAACCTCTGCCTCCCGGGTTCATGCGGTTCTCCTGCCTCAGCCTCCAGAGTAGCTGGGACTACAGGTGCCCACCACCACGCCTGGCTAATTTTTGTATTTTTAGTAGAGATGGAGTTTCACCATGTTGGCCAGACTGATCTCGAACTCCTGATCTCAAGTGATCTACTGACCTCGGCCTCCCAAAGTGCTGGCATGAGCCACCGAGCCCAGCCAGGCCTGGCTAATTTTTGTATTTTTAGTAGTGATGGAGTTTCACCATGTTGGCCAGGCTGGTTTTGAACTCTTGGCCTCAAGTGATCCTGGATTACAGGCGTGAGCCACCATGCCCCGCCTCCACTTTTCCTGATCTGGCTTCTCCACCAGGCTCTGGCAGGTGATCCCTCTTGAGCACGTCTCCCCAGCCCACTTTTCCTTCATATGCTGACTCCTCTCCATGGTCCCCCAGCCTCAGAACTGGTCCCCACTGCAGCACGCCCCCTCCACAGCCTCCCAGGTTGACCCTCCCCTCTGCTGCCCTCCCCTGCAGACTCTGGGCTGGGAAGCCCTGTTGGCACGGCGCCTGCCGCCGCCCTTTGTGCCCACGCTGTCCGACCGCACAGACGTCAGCAACTTCGATGAGGAGTTCACTGGGGAGGCCCCCACACTGAGCCCGCCCCGCGACGCGAGGCCCCTCACAGCTGCGGAGCAGGCGGCCTTCCTGGACTTCGACTTCGTGGCGGGGAGCTGCTAGCCCCTTCCTCTGCCCCTGCCCCTGCCCGAGAACTCCTAGTTTTTAAAGACGCCTTTGGGATTTGCCTGATCCATGCAACCTCCGTGTCTTCTTGTGTGCAGTCGTTGGGGGCGGGGCTGTGCTTGGAGGTGGGGACGTTTGGGAGGCAGGTGGCTGGGTGGTCGTGGGAGTCTCGAGTGATGGGGGTGTCATTCGAAGAGGATCAAGGAACGGTGTGGACTCGGGGCTGTTCGTATGATGGGTAGCGTGGGTAAGCCGAGATGGGAGAGAGGTCGGGTTTGTGGTGGGGGGCACCCAGGAGCAGGGGGCAACATGGTTTGGGAATAGGGTTTTGGGACTGTATTGGAAGAGCTGAAAGCCACAGTGAGCAAAATGGTTGCGGAAGTCGGTCAGGGCGGTGGCAAGGGCAGGAAACGCCCCCAACACCCTCTCGCTCAGCTCCCAGGGGATCCCCAGCCCCCGCCGCGCGCACGGTGCGCTTGCTCCTGCGGTGCCCACGGCCCGGCACCGCGCGCCGCCGAAGACCGCGCGCCCGATGTCTCCACGCCCTCTTCTGGCAGGTCCCGGAACGGCACCCGCCCTGGAGGCGCACGTCGCGCCTCTGCAGCGCCCGCGCGGCCGCACTGGCTGTGGAAGCCCGGACGGGACACACCACCCACCCTGCCTGGGCTCGCAGAATGGCTTTTTATTCCTCAAAGGCACCTGGGCCTGGCCTAGGGTGGGCTGGTTTAGTCGTTGGACCTCCGGTTGTGCTTAGAAGTGGCTGAGGCCGCTGTGCCGGGAGCTGCGCAGCGAGCTGGCCTCCCAGGCGCTCCGGGTCAGGCCCAGCCCTGCGGGGCCGCCCTTGGCCCCGGCCCTCGAGGGCAGGAGTCGAAGCAGTTGGCGCAGCACGGCCTGGCGCAGCAGGATGTACACCCAAGGATCCAGGATCTGGTTCCAGGTGGCAAGGCGCACGGCCAGGAACAGTGGCCGCTGCAGGGAGGTAGAGCTCCAGCCCCCGACGGCCAGTGCCACCAACACCTGCGGGAAAAGCCGGTGTGAGCCGCCGGGCGGGCGCAAGGTGGCGCCGGGATCGTGGGGGCGTGGCTGGAGGCTAAAAGCCTGGGAGGAGGGGCGACCCTTCGCAGGGAGGGTAAATGGGGATCCAGGGAGGAAAGGGGGGCAAAGAAACACCTTCAGTGGCCAGAGGAGTCTCAGGTATCCCGGAAAGAGGAAAAACGAGGGGATTGGGTGAAAGGACTAGGGAGTGAAGAGGAGGCTTGTGTGGGTTGGGGTGCACTACAAAGACCCCAGAAAGGAAGAAGAGATGGGGTCCAGGAGGAAGGATGGAAGGGAGGTCAGCTGGAGAAGGCGATGCTGGCTTTTCGGGCAGGTGGGGCCTCCAGGGGTCAGGGCCTTAATTGGGTCCAGGAAGGAGGCCCCAAGTGTCCTGGGACCAGGAAGGGCAGGAAGGGCCCAAGAGGGAGCTGGAAGGAGCTGGCTCGAGGGGCCGATGCGCCCCTCACCAGCAGCGGGCTCCAGCAGATGCACGACACCACCATGATACCGATAAGCTGGCCCACCATCTCCACGTCGTGGGCGCGAGCTCTGCGTGCCGAGCCGCGGCTCCGGGAGCTGCCAAAGGCGGTGGAGGCCGAAGCGATGGACGAGGCGGAGGAGGCGGAGGCCGAGCGAGGTCCGCGCGCCCCCCAGCGACGCCGGCTGTCTGGGCCCGAGGCCTGAGGCCGTCGGGAGCGGCGTCTCCAGCGGGCTCGCAAGAGGGCCAGGCCGCTGAGCGTGTTGCACACCAGCGCGGCGAGGAGCGCGGCCAGGCCGAGGCCGGCGAAGATGCCGGCGAGCAGTGCCTGGCGCCAGCCGCCCGGGGGGCCCAGGCCGATGAAGCACCACGTGCCGGGATACTGCAGCTCGTAGCGGCCCACGCGCGCCAGCGGCAGCAGCGCCACGGCCAAGGCCACCGCGGCCAGTGCGCCCAGAGCCAGGCGCGCGCGGGTGACTGAGACCCGCGCGGCGTGGAGCAGCGGCCGCGTGACGCCCACGCAGCGTTCCACAGCCATGCCGCAGCCCAGCAGTAGCGGGCACAGGCCGAAGAAGACCATGCAGCCGCCCAGGAAGTGGCAGGCCCCGCCGGCCGGCGCGCGCCCCGCGGCGTACAGGCGCAGCACCAGCGCGCCCGGGATGACGTGACCCGCCAGGTCGGTGGCCAGCAGGCTGGCCACGAACAGCAGGAAGGTAGCGGCCGAGCGGCGGCGTCGCAGACGGCCCGCGGCCTGCGCTAGCAGCGCCAGCGCCAGCAAGTTGGACACGGCACCCAGCGTCATGGAGAAGATGGGCAGCGCAGGCGAAGTGCCCGAAGCGCCCGAAGGCGGCACAGCCGACGCGTTGGGGACCCAGGGCACCGTGCACGTGGCCGCCTCGCCGGCCAGGCTCAGGTTGAGGGGCCCGCAAGGGCTCATGTCAGGCGCCGGGAGTGCTGGGTAGAGGAGAGGAGGGCAGAGTGAGGCTGGCTGGGCCCGGGCAGGGACCACCCCACAATGGCATCTCAGAACATCAGGGCCCTTTGACTCCATGGCGTTCTCCTGCAGCCCCTCTGCCCATGGCAACTCCACATGACCCTGGCCACTCCATTTCGAAACCCTCCTCCCTCTCCTCTGCCTCTCACCAACCCATCTCCTGCTCCAGGGCCTCCTTCTTTCCCTACTGGCCCCTTCTCTGTCCTTCATGGTTCCCTGCAAGATTCCCCCCAGCCTGGCCTGAGGGTAGTCTCTGCCAGCGCCTCTGGGCCTCACAGATCCCCCTCTGACCACCACCACAGCAAATTCCTGGCCTGTGGCTCCATGTGATAACTGTCACCCATTTCGCTCCTGGGGCCCTATCTAACCTTCCGTCTGTCAGCTTTACTCCAATCCCTTCCCTGATGACCCACCCCCATCTCTACCATCATGGGCACATGTCTCCCCACGGCCCCATCTCTGTCCCCACAGCCATGTCCCTATCCCCCATGGACCCATCTCTGACCCCACATGGCACAGCCACATCTGTGCCATGGACCCATCTCTGCCCCCACCCGCTGGACAGGTCTCTGCTCCACTGCAGTCTCTGTCCAGGCCCTACCCCTATCACCTCTGCCTCACCCTGGATGCCCGCGGTTCCACTCCATGTCCCTGCCCCAGAGGCCTCGAGGGGGGCCCCAGGACCATCCACTCTTTGATATCCTGGTGGTAAGGGCTGAAGTGCCCACCAGGCCAGATGGGAAGGGAGGATGGCCAGAAGGTGAGATAGGGATGCACAGATGGGGGGAAGAGCACAGGGGCACAGGATGGACAGACAGGTGGCCATGGCCCCATCCCTTTGTGCCCTCCTCCTCCCCAACCAGGGACCCTCGTATGCCCCAACCTGCTTACCCGGCACTGCCTGGGATGTGGGGTCCCCATTGCCCGCCGCTCAGCCCTGCTCCCCACTGCGCCCTGGCTCTCCGGCAGGCCGCTTCCTTCCTCCCTCTTCCTTGGGCGGCTCCTTGGCTCCTCCCGCCGCCCTTGCTGGCCTCCAGGGGCCGCTCCACCCCGCGCACGCCCGCTGGGGGCCTGGAGTGGCAGAGACCCCCGCCCCCTGCTCCTGGCAATGGGCGGGGGCCACTCTGGGCCCTGGCTCATCCATGAGGAGCGAGGCTCCCTGGAGTCAGTCTGGCTCCCTGTGACCCCCTCCTTCCATCGGGGTAAGAGCAGCCCCCTTCCCCCAGACTCTGGCCTCTTGCCTCATTAATAAAGCGGATAAAATCTAAACACTGGAAAATGTGAGCGTCGCCTGGGGCGGGCTCGGGCGGCAGCAGAGGGTGCCATTGCCCCTCCCTGGGGCTTTGGGGTTAGGTGGGGCTAATCCAAATTCTGTGGGGGCAGCAAGGCTCTCTTGTCCTGCCAGAGCTTTCATGGATGTCGGGGTGGGTGGTGGTGGGCAGTGCCCACCAAGGGATTCACCTACTATTTATACAGGGGCTTAAGCCCAGGCCAGGGCCACAGCAAGTCATCCTGGAAGACGAGGGGAGGAGGCTGAAAGGGGGCAGGGGATCCAGGAGGCCTGGGGCCCCGGGGTCTCGCCCCAGCGTCTGGCTCCTGCTTTAAGATGGGCTGAGCGACACCTGGGACACACACCTTAAGCCACAAAAACTCACCTCCTGCCCTGAAAAGTAGGGTCACACCTGACAGACACTTGCACAGCCTCACACTCTAAGAGGTACAGTCCCATCACTTACCACTCAGTTTCATCCTGTTCCAGCTCTCACAGCCAGGGTGCTGCCACCACATCCCTCAACTCGGGGTCTTATCCCCAACACCGGAATGCACCCAGAGTTACTGTCTCAATCTGCCCCTTCCCTCCACACCCCAAAATGCAGCCCCCCAAAATGACCACCCGCAGCACCCTCCTTAGTGCCCCAGCACATACACACACACACACACACACACACACACTCATTGCCTAAACTGACCCCTGGTCACACTCCATATGACTTGTAATGACCCAGAAACAATCCCAGACAGGCCCCACCGGCACACTCCAAACATACACTCAAGGTACAAGAAGTGGCATCCCCCACCCCCTGGACACCAGAGACCTAGCTGGCCACCCCTCCTTGCCCCAGAAACACCACCACCCTAAGACATACACGCCCACACCCTGGGACACCCCAAGACACAGTCGCTTAGTCACACTCCCCACCACCAGACACTGCCAGTTAAACCTGCAAATCCCATGGAACTCGGAGCCAGGTAACCCCTTACCCACAACACAGATACAAGTCACAGCCCTCCCTCGCGGTGTCACGAGCCATCAACACTGACAGACGCACACAGCCACACCCCTTCACCGAAGCCGGCTCCCAGCAGACACCCGAGAACCCCACGGGTGCCCCAAGTCATTAGAACACCGGCTCCCCACTCCAGCTCGGGCCTGCACACCAAGACCCAGCCTCGAGGGGCTTCCCCTTTTCCCCCTTCCCCACTTCCTGATGGCCTAGTGCCCGCCCGCCTGTTGGAAGGATGATTGCAAGCTGGCCTCAGACTTCCCCACAGACTCTCAGCTCACCCCCAAACATTCCTGCGCTGGCCCAGCGCCCCTTGCTTCAGTCCCCTCCCTTCCCTTCAGGTCTGGCCAGAGTCCCACCCCGCCTTTCTCTCTGATCACCCTCAATCCTCAAGGATGAAGCGGGTTGTCAAAACAAGAATGTCGGGTTTATGTCAGGGTTTATGTCCGCAGTGCCCCATGGACGCCCTCCTGTCCAGCATCAGGCAGAGTGTGGTAGGGGCTTCATCATGCCTATCCCCCACCTCCTGGCATGGGGGTGGGGCTTTGGTAGGCCTGAGGTTCCCTCTTTTTCCAAGCCAGGTTTCAATTCCCTGGTGCTCCCCACGGTCCGGGAGTTGTCACCGGCTGCAAACAGTCTCATGAAGCTCCAGGAGGTAGGAGGTCTTGTGGGAGAGGGGGCAGGATTTGAACCCTCAGTAGTCCAGGAAGCTCTGGCCCTGCCTGGAAGCCTGGTGGCCTGTAGCCAGGAGCAACAGTGGGAGGGGCAGGTGGCCTGGTGCCAGCTCCTAATTCAATTTGGAGCCTGCGGAAGACGGATTTCAGCTGCTGAATTCTTTCTCAGCCCCAACCCACCCCCTCTCCCACCCCGAAGCCACACAGGTCCAACAGCAGAGAGATTCTTTATGTTCAAGACAGCAAATTCAGATACAAAAGCCCACTGCCATCGTCCCTCCCTCCCTCCTGCTCTGGGCCAGGGATGGGCCTGGAGGGAGAGATGGGATGTGGGGAGGAGGTTGGGGGGGTTCACAGCAGACTCCTGTCAGATGCGGAGGTTACAGACTCCATGGGGAGGGTGCTTCTCTCGGGAGGGGCGAGGGCATTATTGCATTTGCTGGGGGGAGCGACAGCCCCCTTCCCTGTATTCCCTGCGTCAGGAAACTAGGAAGGCCATGACCCCCAAACAGAACCCAAGGCTCCAGGGAGACAGAGGGACCAGTTTGGCAGCTGATGGTGGAAAGTGGAGGAGGTGGGGGTGGCCACCCAATGTGACCCGTCCCTCCCCTCCCCGTGCCTGACCCGGCTGAGGTAGGTGGGAACAGGGCACAGGGGGGCCGGGAACCCCGGCCAGACTGAGAACCGGGGAGGGGATGGTACCAAGTGGAGTGGGGTGGGGGGCCCGGCCCCACCTCCCCTCCCCATCGTCCTGGGGCTGCTGAGCTAGGCTCAGGTCAGAGGTTCGGGTCCTGACATTGGTGGCCCTGCCGGGGGGCTCCCACCAAGTTGGGCCCAGGTCATCATCATCTCAGGGTCGGTCCGGAGGAGGTCCTAGTAGCGGCCGACTTTGGCGTCCCCAATGGCGCCCCAGACGTCAAAGACAAACTCATCGGGGAAGGCAAAGTCCCCCAGCCGTTCATCCAGGGCCTCGGCCAGCTCATCCGGGTTCCTTTTATCCTTTCCCAGCTCCACCATGGTGGCCGCTATTGGGGGAGGGGGCAGAGTGGAGGCACAGATGACATCAGGGGCCAAGGGGCTCAGGGTGGACTCAACCCCCACCAGTCCTAGAAGTCCCTCCCCCAGGAGCCCCACTCACCCAACTCTGTGTCCCTGATACCCATGTAACTCTCCAGCAGGTCATCCACCTTCTCAATGGCCTTCTCCTCAAAGGCAGAGGGCTAAGGGCCGGGGAGGGGTGACAGTGACAACATAACGAGAATGGACATTGCAGTCGGACTGACCACCCTCGTCACTTTACATATATTCGTATTTAGTCCTCAGGATGACCGAGAAGGAGGTGTTGGTGTTCATCTCACCCCCATTTTCCTGATGGGAAACTGAGGCCTGCATGCCCAAAGGAGGTCCCTGGGAGCTGGGAGGTGGCAGAAGTGGACTGGAATCCAGGTTGTCTGCCCAGAGTCCCTTCAGCTAACAGGTAATGCTGCCTGCCATGAAAGGGAAGGGAGGGCTGGGCAAGGTGGCTCACATCTGTAATCCCAGTACTTTAGGAGGCCAAGGAGAGTGGATCACCTGAAGCCAGGAGTTCAAGACCAACCAGCCTGGCCAACATGGTGAAACCCCATCTTTACTAAAAATACAAAAATTAGCCGGACATGGTGGTGGGTGCTTGTAATCTCAGCTACTTGGGATGCTGAGGCAGGAGAATCATTTGAGGCAGAATCAGGAGGCAGAGTTTGCAGTGAGCCAAGATCATACTATTGCACTCCAGCCAGGGTGACAAGAGCAAGACTGCCTCAAAAACAAAAACAAAAACAAAGAAAACACAGGGAAGGGACGGCAGGGATGGGGTACGGCACTCACCAGATCCTCCACCGTGGCGGGGCCCCGGGATCGGAGTCGCAGGGTCCCTCGGCCAGTGCCCAGCTGTGGGCCAGAGCCAGGGCGGCCACCCGCTGAACGCTGGCTGATCATGTCTGAGAGGCAGGAGAGGGGTGAGCATGGGGGAAGGTTGGTTTGAGCACGCTCTGGGCAGGAACTTGTCCCTCCTGGCTTTCGACACCGCCCCAAACTTCTCCAAGCTTCTGCAAGTTCCTGGGGGCTGGGGTGATTCCAGGAGGGCAGGAGTCCTGACTCAGGTGAGGCATGGATGTGGGGCAGAGCAGAGGGACAACTGGGGGCCAGGAATAGGAAATGCTGGAGGGGAGACTGAAGGGGCCACCTCTGCTCCCAGGGGCTGGGGGAGAGGGAGCGGGGGTACCCCAGCCTGAGTCTGCAGCTGCCTGAGTCAGTCTCCTCTTGGCCAAGGGAGTATGGCTGCCGGGCCATGGAACAGCCCTACCTGCCCGGTGAAGTGATTTAGTCCCCCACCCCCACCTCCGGGGCCTGGGGCCCATTCCTGAGGGTTAGTGAAGCCAGATAGAAAAGTGGGGGGTGCTGGCACTGGGCGGCCAAGCCTGGCCTGTTGGGGCTGGGGGGCTGGCCAGGGATGGGGTGCTTGGCTGGGCTAATGGCCCCTGGAAGCTAGGCGTGAGGGCAACTTCCTCCTTGCCCCCACCCTTTTCCCCAGTCGGGCTAAGAGTTAGCACCCTGTCTTGGGGCAGGGTGGAGCTGCACCCACTTCTCTTGCAGCTGGCCAGGCTCGGGCGCCACCTGTTGGCAGCTCCTGGCACCACCGCCTGCACACACAAGCAGCATCACTGGGGAGGAGGGTGGCGGGTGGCGGCTCCTCACCAAAGGCCTTTCGAGGCTCTGTGAGTTTCAGCGTGAAGGTGCGGCCTCGGGGAAGCTCCTTGAGCAGCCGGGCCACCTCGTAGTGCCGGCAGCCCAGCAAGCTCTGCCCATTGATGGCCTCAATCATGTCACCCACGCTGATGACGTGGATGTGGTCGATCACACTGCCCTCCTTGATGCGCTGCAGGGGCGGGGAGGCATCAGCAATCGGGGCTCTGCCCTGCTTTCGGGGGTCCCGTGGCCCGCCCACGCTCCCAGGCACCTTGATGAAGGCGTAGCCAGCCCCGTTGTCCGTGATGGTGAGCCCCAGTGCATCCTCTGACTTGAACACCTCCACCTCCTTGCGCTGCCCCTTCACGTGGGCGAAGATGAAATCCTCCAGCCCGATCTGGCCTCCCAGGAGCTTGTCCATGTCTACTTTGTGGGTGTTCAGGGTACAGAACATCACCTGCAGGGGTGGGAGACGCTGAACCCTCTCCTCCTTCCCTCCCCCTTTGCTAATCACCACTGCCAGGGGAAGGAAGAGAGGTGGGAGAGTACTGGGGGGACTCCACCCCAGTGCCCGACCACCCACTGAGCCAGGGCCAGGGCAGGGCCCCCAATTAGTGTGTCAGCTCTGCCAGGACTAGGATTTAGTTTTCCTTTCTTTTTTATTTTGAGACAGGGTCTTGCTCTGTCACCCAGGCTGGAGTGCAGTGGTGCATAGCTCACTGTAGCTTCAACCTCCAGACTACTCCAGCAATCCTCCCACCTCAGCCTCCTGAGTAGCTGGAAATACAGGTGCATGCCACCATGCCTGGCTATTTTTTTTTTTTTTAGACAGTGTTTCACTGTTGTTGCCCCGGCTGGAGTGCAATGGTGCAATCTCAGCTCACCAGAACCTCCACCTCCCCAGTTCAAGCAAGTCTCTTGCCTCAGCCTCCCAAGGAGCTGGGATTACAAGCATTCAGCACCATACCTGGCTAATTTTGTATTTTTAGTAGAGGCAGGGATTCTCCATGTTGGTCAGTCTGGTCTCGAACTCCCAATCTTAGGTGATCTGCCCACCTTGGCCACCCAAAGTGCTGGGATTACAGGCATGAGCCACCATGCCCAGCAACCTGGCTAACTTTTGTGTTTTTTGTGGAGGTGGGGGTCTCACTATGTTGCACAGGCTGGTCTCCAATTCCTGGGCTCAAGTGAGCCTCCTACCTCAGCCTCCAGAGTAGCTGGGGCCACAGGCATGTGCCACATACTTTAAAAAAAAAAAAAACTTTTTATAGAGATGGGAGTCCCATTTTGTTGCCCAGGCTGGCCTGGAACTCCTGAGCTCCAGTGACGTCCCGACCTCAACCACACAAGTAGCTGGGACTACAGGTATGCACTACTGTGCCTTGCTAGGATTTCTGTCCTTGTAAAAATTCATTGCTGCTTCCAGGGAATGGAGCCTGGCATACAGTGAGTGCTCAGAAAATGCTTGGGGAGGACACAGAAACTGGCCCCACACTCCTGCATCTACTTCCTGGTCAAGTCCACTGTTGCGTTCCTTGCCCCCTCCCGCCCACCCACACAGTGCTTGGCACCAGGCAAGCCAGCCTCCCACAGCACTGGGATTCTCCAAGGCATCATGGAGAAGTGCACCTTGTATCTGGCCTCCAGCCTCCACCATCTCCTGGGGCACGGGCCTCCCCATGCCTGACAGGAACTCAGCATCCAGCCCTGGCCATCAGTCTTGCACAATCTACTGGGATGCAGGCCTCTCAATCCATCCATCCATGCAATCAATCCATCCAGCCCTGGCCTCCCACAATCCATTGGAGCTCAGGTCTCCCAGTGCCTGATGGGAACTCAGCATCCAGCCCTGGCCTCCAGTTTCCCACAATTCACTGAGGAACAGGCCTCCCGATACCTGATAGGAACTCCATATCCAGTCCTGGCCTCAAGTTCCCCACAGTTCACTGGGGCACAGGCCTCCCAATGCCTGATGGGAACTCAGCATCCAGCCCTGGCCTCCAGTTCCCCACAATTCACTGGTGTACAGGCCTCCCAGTGCCTGATAGGAACTCAGCATTCAACCCTGGCCTCCAGTTCCCCACAGTTCACTGGGGCACAGGCCTCCCAATGCCTGATGGGAACTCAGCATCCAGCCCTGGCCTCCAGTTCCCCACAATTCACTGGTGTACAGGCCTCCCAATGCCTGATGGGAACTCAGCATTCAACCCTGGCCTCCAGTTCCCCACAGTTCGCTGTGGCACAGGCCTCCTAATCTCTTACCAGGAACTCAGCAGCCAGCCCTGGCCTCCAGTTCCCCATAATTAACTGGAACACAGGCCTCCCAGTGCCTGATGGGAACTCAGGATCCAGCCCTGGCCTCCAGCAGTTCCCCACAATTCACTGGGCACAGGCCTCCCAGAGCCTCATGGGAAGTCAGTGTCCAGCCCTAGTCATCGGCCCCAACACCGAGTAGGGCACAGGCTCATCATTTGCAGCTTTGGCAGCTGAGCCCCAGCTCATGAACAGGATGTACGCTCAGGCCTCTGGCCCACCAGCAGGGACCCTGGTGCCTGGCTCCCCATAGGGTACCTCGGCAGTTGGCAGGCGGAAGGCCTCAGCGATCTTGCCGTACAGCTCCTTGACGTTGGTGAAGCCCTCGATGCGGCCAGTGGGACTGCCGTGGGCCAGCTGGGTGTGGAACACGAGGCGGGGCCGCAGGGCTGGGGGTGGGGGGGGCAAGCCCATTTGGGGCCTCCCCGCCCCACCTCCGACCAGGGGCCCTGGCTCCTCCTCGCCCAGCCCTCCACGGCCTGGCTCAGCCTCCTCATTTTCCACAAGAGGGGGCGCCTTTTTCCGCCGCCCCAGTCCCAGCGGCATGAGCAGCGAGAAGCAGGGTCACGCCCAGGAGATCTGTAGGACAGGAAAGCGGGCTCAGGGCCTGGGCAGGGCCTTGAGTGCCCCTCCCTCACTACTCGAACCAGATAGGCCCAAGGAAGTTCTGAGAGAACAAACTGGCCTCAGCTGAAATCCTCATCTCTTGTATAGTGAAGGGACACTTACATAAAAGTAGTAACAGGGCTGGGCACGGTGGCTCACGCCTGTAATCTCAGCACTATGGGAGGCCAAGGTGGGTGGATCACTTGACGTCAGGAGTTTGAGACCAGCCTGGCCAACATGGTGAAACCCCTCCTCTACTAAAAATACAAAAATTAGCCGGGTGTGGTGGTACACACCTGTAATTCCAGCTACTCAGGAGGCTGAGGCTGGAGAATTGCTTGAACCTGGGAAGTGGAGATTGCAGTGAGCCGAGATCGTGCCCTTGCACTCCAGCCTGGGCAAAAGAGCAAGACTCCATCTATAAATAAATAAATGTAATAACGGCTGGGCACAGTGCTTCGCACCTGTAATCCCAATACTGTGGGAGGCTGAGATGAGAGGATCACTTGAGGTCAGGAGTTCAAGATGCCTGGCCAGCATGTCGAAATGCCATCTCTACCAAAAATACAAAAAAATTAGCTGGGCGTGGTAGCACGCACCAGTAGTCCCAGCGACTCAGGGGGCTGAGGCAGGAGAATTGCTTGAACTGGGAGGTGGAGGTTGCAGTGAGCCAAGATCACACCACTGCATTCCAGCCTGGGTAACAGAGCAAGACTCTGTCTCAAAAAGAATAACAATAATAATACCACCAACTAGGATCTATTGCTTTGTGACCTTCCTTGTGTGTTTGTTTCGTTTGTTTGTTGTGACAGGGTCTTGCTCTGTCACTCAGGCTGGAGTGCAGTGATGCAATTAAAGCTCACTGTAGCCAGGCGTGGTGGCACGTGCCTGCAGTCCCAGCTACTCGGGAGGCTGAGGAGGGAGGATCGCTTGAGCCCAGGAGTTCTGGGCTGTAGTGCACTATGCCGATCGGGTGTCTGCACTAAGTTTGGCATCAATGTGGTATCTCCCGGGAGTGGGCGACCACCAGGTTGCCTAAGGAGTGAACTGACCCAGGTCGGAAACGGAGCAGGTCAAAACTCCCATGCTGATCAGTAGTGGGAAAGCGCCTGTGAATGGCAACTGCACTCCAGCCTGGGCAACACAGCGAGACCCCGTCTCTTAAAAAAAAGTTATAAAATTACTGCAATAGGACTACTCTAAAAAAAAAAAAATTTATAAATTAAAAAAATAGCTCACTGTAGCACTGTAGTCTTGATCTCCCAGGCTCAAAGAATACTCTCTCCTCAGTCTCTCAAATAGCTGGGACCACAGGCATATGCCATGAAGGTAACCTTTTTTTCTTCTTCTTTTTTATTTTTTTATTTTTAGCAGTGACGTCCTGAGAACCTTTTTTTTTTTCTGGAGACGGAGTCTTAGTTTGTTGCCCAGGCTGGAGTGCAGTGGTGTGATGTCTGCTCACTGCAACCTCTTCCTCCCAGGTTCAAGCAATTCTTCTGCCTCAGCCTCCTGAGTAGCTGGGATTACAGGTGTGTGCCACCACACCAAGCTAGTTTCTACATTTTTAGTAGAGACGGGTTTCTTACCACGACTTCCGCCTCCTGGGTTCAAGCAATTCTCCTGCCTCAGCCTCCCGAGTAGTTGGGACTACAGGCATGCGCCACCATGCCCAGCTAATTTTTGTATTTTTAATAGAGACAGGGTTGACCAGGATGGTCTTGATCTCTTGACCTCATGATCCACCCGCCTCGGGCTCCCAAAGTGCTGGGATTATAGGCGTGAGCCACCGCGCCCAGCCTGAGATGGGGTTTCACTAAGTTGTCCAGGCTACTCTTGAACTCCTGACTTCAAGTGATCCACCTGCCTTTGCCTCCCAAAGAGCTGGGATTACAGGCATGAGCCGCCACACTTGGCTGACGCTCAGCTATCATTTTAAAACTTTTTGCAGAAACTGGGGTCTCAATATGTTGCCCAGAGGGATCTCAAACTCCCAGGCTCAAGTGATCCTCCTGCCTCAGCCTCTCAAAAGTGCTAGGATTATAGGAATGAGCCATTGTGCCCGCCTTTTTTTTTTTTTTTTTTTAAGGAGTCAGGGTCTCAGCTGGGCATGGTGGCTCACACCTGTAATTCCAACACTTTGGGAGGCTGAGGCAGGCAGATCATCTGAGGTAGGGAGTTTGAGACCAGCCTGGCCAAAATGGTGAAACTCCGTCTCTACTAAAAATACAAAAATTAGTCTGGCGTGGTGGTAGGCACCTATAATCCCAGCTATATGAGAGGCTGAGGCAGGAGAATGGCTTGAACCCGGGAGGTAGAGGTTGCAGTAAGATGAGATTTCGCCATTGTACTCCGGCCTGGGCAACAGAGCGAGATTACATCTCAAAAACAAAAAAGAGTCAGGGTCTCTTCTCGCTGTGTCCCCCAGGCTGGAGTGCGACGAGGTGATCATGATCATAGCTCACTGCAGTCTTGACCTCTTGGGTTCAAGTCATCCTCTGTTCTCAGCCTCCCAAGTGGCTAGGACTACAGGCATGTACCACCACACGTGACTAATTTTTAAAAAATTTATTGTAGGCCTGGTGCAATGGCTTATGTCTGTAATCCCAGCACTCTGGGAGGCTGAAGTGAGCTGAACACTTGAGTAGCTGAGGTCAGGAGTTCAAGACCAGCCTGGCCAACATGGCGAAACCCCATCTCTACTAAAAGTAAAAAAATTAGCCAGGTATGGTGGCACATTTCTGTAATCCCAGCTACTAGGGAGGCTGAGGCAGGGGAATCGCTTGAACCCGAGAGACGAAGGTTGGCAGCGAGCAGAGATTGCAACATTGCATTCACTCCAGCCTGGGTGACTCTGTATCTAAAAAAAAAAAAACTTGGCGCCATGGCCCAGGCCTGTAATCCCAGCACTGTGGGAGGCCGAGGCGGGTGGATCATGAGGTCAAGAGATCGAGACCATCCTGGTCAACATGGTGAAACCTCGTCTCTACTAAAAATACAAAAATTAGCTGAGCGTGGTGGCGCACGCCTGTAATCCCAGCTACTCAGGAGGCTGAGGCAGGAAAATCGCTTGAACCTGAGAGGCGGAGGTTTGCAGTGAGCTGAGATCGCAACATTGCACTCCAGCCTGGGTAACAAGAGCGAAACTCCGTCTCAAAAAAAAAAAAAAAAATTATTGTAAAGAAGGAGTCTTTCTGTGTTGCCCAGGCTGGTCTGGAACTCCTGGCTTCAAGGAGCTTTTGGCCTCCCAAAGCTCTGGCACAACAGGTATGAGCCACCATGCCCAGCCCATGACCTTCCTTAATCCTCACACCACACTATAACATATAGGGATCACGTTATACTGTAATTATGCCCATTGAACAGATGAGAACATGGAGCCTCAAAACAACTAAGATTCTTTTTTTTGAGACGGAGTCTCACTCTGTCACCCAGGCTGGAGTGCAGTGGTGTAATCTCAGCTCACTGCAACCTCCGCCTCCTGGGTTCAAGTAATTTTCCCACCTCAGCCTCTCAAATAGTTGGGACTACAGGCATGTGCCACTGCATCCGGCTAATTTTTATATTTTTAGTAGAGACGGAGTTTCACCATGTTGGCCAGGATGGTCTCGATCTCCTCACCCCGTGATCCGCCTGCCTTGGCCTCCCAAAGTGCTGGGATTACAGGCGTGAGCCACCATGCCCAGCAAAGCGACTAAGCTTCTATTTTCCTATCAGCCACAGTGACTAACGCTGTGTGCCAAAAATGTCTGACTCACCCCCTTCGGAGCATACAGGCGGATGGCACTTCCTGGCCTCCTTGTGACTGGGCAGGTAAATGATTTTTTCTGGTGAATGGGTTGTAAGAGGAAGTGGCACATGACATTTCTGGGCTGAAGCTTGTAAATGCTGGAGCCTCCAGAGATCTATGTCTCCCAGGCAGGGTGGCAAGCCACATTTGATATGGCAGTGACAATATGAAGCCAGGCCCTGAATGACTACAGGGAATGGAGCCCCCTGCTGAGCCACAATGGAAGTGTGGCAGGAAGCAAAAGCAAACCTTTGCTGAATTCAGCCATTGAGACTTTTGAGGTTACCACTAAGGCTTTTAGGGTTACTACAGCAAAAATTGTCTTGATGGACATAAATTTATTTTTGTTTCTTTTTTTTTCTTTGAGACAGAGTCTCGCTCTGTCACCCAAGCAGGAGTGCAGTGGCGCAATCTCAGCTCACTGCAACCTGCGCCTCCTGGGTTCAAGTGATTCTCCTGCCGCAGCCTCCCGAGTAGCTGTGACTACAGGAGCACACCACCATGCTTGGATAATTTTTGTGTTTTTAGTAGAGATGGGGTTTTGCCAGGTTGCCCAGGATGGTCTTGAACTCCTGACCCCAAGCAATCCACCCACCTCGGCCTCCTGAAGTGCTGGGATTATAGGTGTGAGCTATCGTGCTGGGCCCCTGTTTCTTTATTTCTCTCTTTCTGCATTCTCCCCTCCCTTCAAACACTTTTTTTAGTACTTACTAGATTCTGTGCACCATTTTAGATATTGCCTTCAATAAAAAAAAAAAAGATCCCTGACTAGGGTCACCACGTGCAGTTACACGAGTTGTACACTGTGCAAAAGTATTAGACCAAGGCAGCAAGTGGGACTGAACTCAGCCTGTGCTCTGCCTGCAAAGCTATGCTTCTTGGTGTGGTGTCTACCAGGAGGAAGAGATGACTTTTTTTTTTTTTTGAGACGGTGTCTTGCTCTGTCATCCAGACTGGAGTGCAGTAGCACCATCTTGGCTCACTGCAACCTTGCCTCCCAGGTTCCAGAGATTCTCCTCTCTCAGCCTCCCAGGTAGCTTGGGACTACAGGTGCATATCACCATGCCCAGCTAACTTTTTGTGTTTTTAGTAGAGACAGGGTTTCACTATATTGGCCAGGCTGGTCTCAAACTCCTGACCTTGAGATCCACCTGCCTTGGCCTCTCCAAGTGCTGGGATTACAGGTGTGAGCCACCACGCCTGGCTGAAGAGATGTCTTTCTAATTCACTCACAGATGCTATATACATAGGCTAGCTGGGGCTCTGTCCACAATCTCTGGAAGAGGAAATGCACAGTGAGCAGGGAAAGGTGTAAATGTTTAATACTATTTTTTTTCTTTCTTTTGTTTTCTTCTTTTTCTTTGACAGTCTTGCTTTATTGCCCAGGCTGGAGTGCAGTGGTGCAGTTAGGCCTTAGGTGGTGAGCTCAGGTGATCCTCCCACCTCAGCCTCCTGAGTAGCTGGGACCAAAGGGGCTTGCCACCATGCCCTGCTCATTTTTTTATTTTTTAGAGACAGGGTCTTGCTGTGGTGTCCAGGCTGGTCTCAAACTCCTGAGCTCAAGCAATTCTCCAGCCTCAGCCTCCCAAAGTTCTGGGATTACAGGCATGAGCTACTGTGCCCAGCCTCATATAATTTTTAATGTTGATATGGAGACAAAGCAAGACAAGTTCTATAGACAAGATCAGGAAGTGCCTCTCTGAACAAGTGATGCTGAACTTGAGACCTGAATGACAGGAGGAAGCACCATGCAATGATTTGGGGCAAGAACATTCCAAGTAGAGAGAACAGCCAGTAGAAAGGCCCTGACCTGAGCTGCAGCTGGGTGTGGCGGCTCACACCTGTAATGCCAGCACTTTGGGAGGCCGAGGTAGGTGGATCACCTGAGGTCAGGAGTTTGAGACTAGCTTGACCAACATGGCGAAACCCTGTCTCTACTAAAAATACAAAAATTAGCCAGGCGTGGTGGTGGGCACCTGTAATCCCAACTACTCGGGAGATGGGGTTTCACCATATTGGTCAGGCTAGTCTCGAACTCCTGACCTCGTGATCCGCCTGCCTCAGCCTCCCAAAGTGCTGGGCTCACAGGTGTGAACCTCCCTGCCCGGCCCGCACCCAATCTTATGTACCCATTTGTTCACGAATGCATTCCTACCTGGTCCATCTCCATGATCACTCACCTAAACTACTGCTCTTGCCTCCTGGTGGGTTTCCCAGCTTCCACCCTCACCCCCCACGACTTCGTGTCCAGACAGCAGCCAGAATGGTCCTGTAAAACAGAAGTCACGTCACATTTGTCTCTGTTCTGACCCCTCCTCGGGCTCTGGCCTCACTGGAAGGAAAATGGTGTCAGCCAGCCACCACAACCAGCCTCGGTTTGTTTTCCTAGTCAGGGGTGTCATCTGTTGTGCAGGCTGCAGTGTGGTGGTGTAATCATAGTTCACTGCAGCCTCCACCTCCTGGGCTCAAGTGATCCTCGTGCCTCAGCCTCCTCCATAGCTGGCACTACAGGAGCACACCACCTTACATGGCCAATTTTTATTTTTATTTTTGAGACAGAGTCTCGCTCTGTCACCCAGGCTGGAGTGCAGTGGTGTGATCTCAGCTCACTGCAACCTCTGCCTCCTGGGTTCAAGCAATTCTCCTACCTCAGCCTCCCTAGTAGCTGGGATTATAGGCACATGCCACCACGCCTAGCTAATTTTTGTATTTTTAGTAGAGATGGGGTTTCACCATGTTAGTCAAGCTGATCTCGAACTCCTGACTTCAGGTGATCCACCTGCCTCGGCCTCCCAAAGTGCTGGTATCACAGTCATGAGCCATGGCACCTTGCCTTAATTTTTTTTTTTTTTTTTTTGGAGAGATGGGGTCTTGCTGTGTTACCCAGGCTGGTCTCAAACTCCTGGGCTCAAGTGGTCCTCCTGCCTTGGCCTTCCAAAGTGCTGGGATTATAAGCATGAGCCACTACATCCGGCCAATAATATTTGTTGAATGAATGAATGGATGACTGAATGATCCCAATATCCACACACCCAGCAGTCTGGGTGCCTGGCCCCAGGAAGACAAAGGCTCTCATCTCTGCAGCAAAAGCACAAGTCCCATTCTGTGGCCCCCACATCTCTTGCTTCCCAGGTTGGTGCTAGGCACATAGTAGGTGCTTCAGCTAGCCAGGAAGGCAGGAATAGCATCTCCCTCACCTTTCATTGTCTGTGTGGTTTCTTTTTCTCTTTTTTTTTTTTGAGACGGAGTCTTGCTCTTGTTGCCCAGGCCAGAGTGCAGTGGTGCGATCTCGGCTCACTACAACCTCTGCCTCCCAGGTTCAAGTGATTCTCCTGCCTCAGCCTCGCGAGTAACTGGGATTACAGGTATGTGCCACCATGCTCAGCTAATTTCTTGTATTTTTAGTAGTGACGAGGTTTCTCCATGTTGGTCAGGTTGGTCTCTACTAAAAAAACAAACGAAAATAGCCAGGGATGGTGCTGCATGCCTGAAATCCAAGCTACTGGGGAGGCTGAGGCAGGAGAGAATTGCTTGAACCTGGGAGGTGGAGGTTGCAGTGAGCCAAGATCATGCCACTGTGCTCCAGCCTAGGTGACAGAGCAAGACCCTGTCTCAAAAAAAGAAAAAGAAAAAAGCCTTTGTCATCCGTCATTACCCCCCCAACTCCACCAGCTCTGTGCACTGGGAGGCAGGAAGCTAAAAACCTGTCTGGAACCTGGCCTCATCTCTTACTAGCTGTGTGGCTTTGGGTAAGGGTCTTAACCTCTCTGAGCTCCAAGGAAATCACACATGTGCTTGCAATAGTCCTGGTACACAATAAGCTTTTTGTAAATATTGGTGACAATTATTACTACTGCCATCTGTACCAAGATCCAAACTTCCAAGATCCCTACATCCTGACCAAGATTCCCAACCTCCCTACTCTCTCTCTGTCCACACCCACTGCCCTGGTTCATGCTGGCTTCTGTGTCCCCACCCGTGAGTGAGGATTAACAGCAGGGAGGAAAGTGAGTGATTAATGAATCTGCCTGCCACAGCCATAAGAGGCTTCATGGCCTGGGTTCAAATCCCACCCTTGCCACTTACCAGCTGTGTGGCTGTGGGCAGGTCACTTCACTTCACAGGGCCTCAGTTTCTTCATCTGAAAAATGGGTAGAATTCCTGTCACTCTCAAGGTGGTTATGGAAATCCAAAGAGATTGCCCACGTATCCCATCTATACTCTGCCTCAGACTCCATGTAAGGAAGCTGTTGTCATTATTACTGGTATCGCCTTCTCTGCCCTGCCCTGCCCAGGAATATCCCCGCCCTCTCTGCCTGCCAAGACCTACTCCAGGCTCACTCCTCCAGGCAGCCTCCCAGGCTTGCCCCAGCATGTTGGAACCTCCCCTGTGGTACAGACAGCTCAGGCCCAGGAACTTAATTGCATGCTGCCCTGGCAGAACTCTTGTCTTCCAGCCTCAGGCTGTCATTTAACTTCATGTCTCTATTTTAAAACATAAACGAGATGGCATCATTGCCCTGACTGAAACTTTACAACGGTTTCCCACCTTCTGGAAGAAAAATTGCAAACTCCTTACTGTGACCCACAAACCCCTGCAGAATCCCTGCTCTGGGTTCATCTGCTCCAACTAGATTCCAAGCTTGGTCCAGCCTAAAGAAAGACCTTGGCCTTGCCCGACCTGTTTTTTTTTGTTTGTTTGTTTTGTTTTTTTTTTTGAGATGGAGTCTTGCTCTGTTGCTCACGTTGGAGTGCAGTGCCACGATCTCCTCTCACCGACACCTCCACTTTCCAGGTTCAAGTGATTCTCCTGCCTCAGTGTCCCAAATAGGTGGGATTACAGGCATGCACCACCACGCCTGGCTAATTTTTAGTAGAGGCAGGGCTTCCCCATATTGGCCAGGCTTGTCTCAAACTCCTGACCTCAAGTGATCCACCTGCCTCGGCCTCCTAAAGTGCTGGGATTACAGGTGTGAGCCACCTTGCCCAACCCCCTTATCTGATCTTCCTGGCACTGGCACCCCCTGCCCACAACCCTCTATAGTACTACCCACACATTTATTCATAGCACTTAGTGTCATCTGAAATTATCTTCTTTATTTACTTGATAACTTGCTGTTGGCTGCTTCCTTTCAGAGTGCCAACTCCTCAAGAGCAGGAATTTTTGTTCATTTATGTTATTTTCTGTGCCAAGAACAGTGCCTAGCACGTGCCCATAGTAGGTGCTCACTTGAAATATTTGTAGAATGAATGAATGTGTCTCAGGTCCTCATTCTGACTGCTCTCTGCAAACCTCCATCCTCAAAACAGCCCCCCAAACATGCCTACTGTGGGGTTACTAACTCCCCACTTTCCCTGGCTCCCCTCACACCTGAACGCAGAGATGAAGAAGAGAAACTTCGACCTGGATATTAACTGTTTGGGCTGGAATTTCGGCATCCCGGCCCCCTCATCCTGGGAAGGGCCTGAAACTTCGCAACCCCACAGCCATCCAGAAACACAGTGTGGTCGGCAGGAGGAGGGAAAGGGGTTCCTGGGAGCACACAGAAGCTAGGGGAAGGGGGAAATCACGCCCAGGCTCCCCCTTCCCACACCGTGTTGCCTTGGAGAGGAGGGAGAGAGGCCTCTGATTCACTCTTGAAAAACCGGCTCCTGGGTGTTTCCCTGGAGAACGCCTACTGCTCAGCCTTGGCCCAGGTTGCCAGGGGGGACCCAGCAGGCCCAGGACCCCAGCAGATGTCACTCTTCTCTGGACCCAGGTAGTCAAACCTGCCCTCTCCAGCTCAGGGTAGAAGGGACATGAGGGCAGCTTCCTGTTTGAGTGGCTGGTATCTGGTGATCTTTGGGGGTTGTGGGGGTGGGGGGGAAGGAAACAAAAGACCAACAAGTGTGGCCCTGATGATGAGTATGAGGTAGGGGTGGGAGGGGTAGGGGCTGGAGCTGCTCAGCAACAACTGAACTATGGAGCCAGTGGGTATCAAGTCTAGTGGCTGAGACTCCAGTTCTGGACCCTGGGGGCATGAGTTCCAGCCCCAGATGTGCCAGTTACTAGCTGTGTGACCTTGAGCAAGTCACTCCACCTCTCTGAGCCTGCTGCCTCACCTTTTTTACAAGAAGGCACAACACCTCCCATGAAGTGTTTTGATTCAATGATCCGCATGGTAAATGCCTGACACGGAAGCGCTCCATAAATGCTAGCTGGGGTGGAGTTTTTCATGATGATAATTATCCAGGCCCTGGTCCTCACTGCGTGCCCCAGGCCCTGGAGGGTTCAGACGCGGTTCGCTCAGGGAAAATGGACAGGAAAGGGTCAGAAACATCGACCCCACGCCTGTCCCCCCCGGGATGGGGGCCGTCTAGAAGGGGGAGGGGGGAGGGGCAAGCCCGGAGACCCCTACCTGGTGCTGGGAGGCGTTTGCCCTCTGCCCTCCAGCAGGAAGGGAGCTGCCCCCACCACCCCCACCCTCGCTCCCCCCAGGAAGGGGCCTCCGGCATCCCCGCGCTCAGCCTAGACCTCCAGTCGCGTCCCCGGGGCCCGCCCCACCTTGCACGATCCGCCGGATCCTCGCGGGCCCGCGACATCCGGGGCCCCCAGAGTGGACACATCCCTCCCGCCGGGGCCACTCACCTGCGCCGCCGCCACCGCCTCCCCGCGCGCACCCGGCTCGGCCCTCCGCAAACTCCTGCCTGGGCCTCTCCCGCAGTGGCGCCTAGGGGGGCGGGGCCGACGCCCGCGGAAGACCAATTAGCGGCTGTCTTCCGGAGCTCGCGGCCAATCCGCGCCTCCCGCTTCGGGTGGACCCGACGGAAACATTCCAGAGGGATCCCTCCGCCTCACCCGGCTCTTCCCGGCTCCCCCTGCGCCGCAAAGCAGTGGACCTTTCCGCCCCGCCTGAGCCGCGGCGGGCTGTACCACCAGAGGGCTGAGGAGGGGGGGCGGAGCTGCGGCTGGGTCCCGGCCAATCGCGGGGAAGGAAGGAGGCGAGCGGCCAATGGGAAGGAAGCTGGGGCCCCTGAACCACGTGCTGTTGGCTGAATGTCCGTCTAGGGTGCCCTGGGTGGTGAGGGGCGGGGGAGTCAGGTGACCGAGGCCAAGTTTCGGGGACAGGATGCGAACTCCCGACGTCCGGGAAAGTGGACCGTTTAGGAGGCCTGGGTGGGGGGTCGATGGCAGCTCCTAACCCAGTTCCCCGCCCGGCCTCTGCCCCAGCCTGGCCATCCTCGGAGCTGATAAAAAGTGCATTCATACTCTAGGGGCGGGCGGGGGGCAGAGATAAATACGGAGGGTCCCGAGCGTCCCTGCTTCCTGGAGTGTACAATGGAGAAAGGCATTCATTCATTCATTCATTCACTCACTCATCAAATATTTAATGTGCCCTCTGCTCCGTGCCAGGCTCTGTCCTACAGACAAACGCGTGAGCCAGTAAGCCGAATATGCTTCCAGTAGAGATAACAGAGTGTGCAAAAGCCAGAGAGCTACAGCACGCTTTAGGATAGTGCAACATCGTGGGAGCTGGTAAATCAGTGTGGAAAGGCAAGATGGAATGAAAGACAAGAGTGAGATAGTTTTTATTTGCTTGTTGATTTGTTGGTCACTTACTACGTGCTAGATCACAGAGGGTACCCAGCCAGCCTCCGACCTTTGATGGATCTGTCTCCATCTGACTGTGAGGATGGAGGCTGAGTCTCTCTCGTCAACCCCTCACTCCCATCTCAAGCTGCCACATAACAGGTTCTCAGCAAACCTGTGTGGACAAATGCACCAGGTAGTTTATAAGGAACGGGGATTTCTCAGGAGGGCACAGATCCAAGAAACATGAGTCACAAACGCACCTGGAACAGGCCAGGACGCTCAGTTCCCAGGACAGGCGAGATTTCCTTGTTCTAGTTCAAACCCAGCCACTTGGACAGCAACTGAATGCTGCGTGTTCTGGGAACTGTAGTTCTTGGAAGCCTCTAAGCGCTGAGACCCTGCTCAAGCTTCATCGGATGACTGGTTCTTTGCAGTTTCCAGGGTGTGACTGTGTGCAACTCAGCCCCACCAGGACCTGCAGAGGGGTAAAGTGAAAGGGGAGATGGAGACCCGGCATGGTGGCTCACGCCTGTAATCCCAGCAATTTGGGAGGCTGAGGCGGGCAGATCATGAGGTCAGGAGATCAAGACCATCCTAACACGGTGAAATCCTGTCTGTACTAAAAATACAAAAACTTATCCGGGCGTGGTGGCACGTGCCTGTAGTCCCAACTACTCGCCAGGCTGAGGCAGGAGAATGGCTTGAACCAGGGAGGCGGAGGTTGCAGTGAGCTGAGATCGCGCCACTGTTCTCCAGCCTGGGCGACAGAGCAAGATTCTGTCATGAAAAGAAAGAGAAAGAGAGAGAGAGAGAGAGGAGAGAGAGAGAGAGAGAGAGAGAGAGAGAGAGAGAGAGAGAGAGAGAGAGAGAGAGAAGATGAAACCTTGAGCTTCACTGCTGAGGATTGCTTAGTCAGCCCCACCCAGCTGGCAAACACTGAGAAGGCTGTGGCAGGCCAGGCAACAGGCACAGCTATTGTCCCTCTCTTCCTGTTCTGCTGACCTCTGCCATCCCACTGAGCAATAGGTGCCTGGGCTGGCCAGTGCCTTCTGTGGGACTGTGCTGCCTGCCCTGCCTGAGCCTGGCATCTGAGCTGCCCCCTGCACTCTTGGAGAGCCCAGGGGACAGCATGACTGAGGCTGCAAAGTCCTGAGCCAGGATCCACCTGGCTCCTGTTGTGTGATGAGGAAATGCCCAGAGAAGGGGTGATGGGATTATGTGATTGCTCAAGACACAAAGCGGCACTGGGCATCTCCTTTCTGATTTATTTTTATTTTTATTTTTTGAGACAGTGTCGGGCCAGGTGCAGTGGCTCAAGCCTGTAATCCCATCACTTTGGGAGGCCAAGGCAGGTGGATCACAAGGTCAGGAGATTGAGACTATCCTGGCCAACATGGTGAAACCCTGTCTCTACTACAAATGCAAAAATTAAATGGGTGTGGTGGTGAACACCTGTAATCCCAGCTACTCAGGAGGCTGAGGTAGGAGAATCACTTGAACCCAGGAGGCGGGGGTTGCAGTGAGCTGATTTTGTGCTCCTGCACTCCAGCCTGGGCGACAGAGCAAGACTTAGTCTCAAAAAAAAAAAAAAAAAAATCCAGTTGGGCGAGGTGGCTCATGCCTGTAATCCCAGCACTTTGGGAGGCTTAGGCAGGCAGATCCTAAGATCGGGAGATTGAGACCATCCTGGCTAATGGTGAAACCCCATCTCTACTAAAAATACAAAAATTAGCTTAGTATGGTGGCGTACCCTGCTCACACCTCTCCTAGTCCAGCCAGCCCCATCACCTCCCACCCGGTGCAGCGGCTTCCACCCTGGTCCTCCCGCTCCACCCTCACTGTCAGCCCTACAGTCAGTTCTCTGCACAGTGGCCAGAGGGCGTCCGTGAGCACCCGAATCAAGTCACCTTCCTTCTCGACCAAGGACCGCACCCCCCGAGGCCATGTGTCCCCAAAAAAACCTGTCCCTGTGAGCCAAAGTGTGTTTTTTTTTTAGGAGTCACACCTGGCCACACTGATGTCCAGCATAATATTCCTGGGGAGCGTTGGGATCCCACGAAGGCAAACTACCCAGTTCCTGGCTCTGACTTCCATGTGAAAGAAAATCGGGCCTTGCCCCTCCTGACTTAAACTCTCAATTTCTCTTCCAACTCAGGAATGCAGGGCCTGGTGTGTCTCATTCCTAAACACACCCGGTCCTGCTCTCTCCTGCTCTCTCAGTTTCAGCCACATCAGGCTTGTGTGTGTGTGTGTGTGTGTGTGTGTGTGTGTGTGTTGGTTCCCAGATCCCCAGCCTAGGGGCCTCATCCCTGGCTCATTGTCCAGGAGCCCCTCCCTGCATCCTAACAAGCTCTGTGCCTTGGCTTGTGGGTCCGGGGCCTGCCAGCCCTCTTCCCCTCCACGCTGCAGGCCTATGGAAAGTGCCTCTGTCAGTTTAATGAGTTGAAAGATGCCCCCACCCTAAAAGGAATGCCCACATTCCAGAACCTGTGAATGTGACCTTACTTGGAGTAAGTGTCTTCAAAGATGTCATTCAGTGGAGGATCTTGAGATGAGATCATCCTGGATTAGGGTGGTTGGCCCCGAAATCCAATGACGGGTGTCCTTACAAGAGACAGAAAAGGAGACACAGACGCACACAGCGGGGAGGGACGTGGCAGAGACTGGAGCAATGCAGATATGACCCCAAGGAAGGCTCAGGATGGCTGAAACCACCAGGAGGCAGGAGAGAGCCGCCCCCACTTGTTAATGCCGGGTGCAATGGCTCACGCCTGAAATCCTAGCACACTGGGAGGCTGAGGTGGGTGGAGTTCAAGACCAGCCTGGTCAACATGCGGAAACCCTGACTCTATGAAAATACAAAAATTAGTTGGGCATGATGGTGGGTGCCTGTAATCCCAGCTACTCAGGAGGCTGAGGTGGAAGAATCGCTTGAACCCAGGAGGCAGAGGTTGCAGTAAGCCAAGATCATGTCATGGCACTCCAGCCTGGGTGGTAGTGAGACTAAATCTCAAAAAAAAAAAAAGAGTGAAAGAGAAAAAAGAAAAAGACAAAAGGTCTTTCAGGAAAGAGGGGCTCTCCTGGAGCCAGAGTGAATATCTGCTTCTCCCTGGTGGGAGAGTTGAAGAAATTAGGGCACAGGGGTGGGGTCCCTGGCAGGTGTGGGTGGGGCAGAGGGAACCACCAGCTGACCCCAGGGCTGGGTTATCCTTCCTCTGCACATACCCTGACATGAATTATCATAGGAAAAAATGTTGCAGGTCCTCTTGTCTGAATCACTTTGTCACTTAATTATTCACTTAGCGAACACTCAGAGGGTCAGATTTGGGGCAAGCGTCACTCTGGCCACTGGTGATGCAGATTATTAGGATGTGAGTGGTGACCTCAAGGGAACTCACAGTTGCCACGGAGTGGGGGACATTTTCAAGTATTCTCCTGCAATTGTCACTGCTGCCCCTCTGACAAAGAGGGAAGGTGTCTTACTTAAAAATTATGGAGTTTGGGGCCGGGCGCAGTGGTTCACGCCTGTAATCCCAGCACTTTGGGAGGCTGAGGTGGGTGGATCACGAGGTCAAGAGATCGAGACCATCCTGGCCAACATGGTGAAACCCCGTCTCTACTAAAAATACAAAAAATTAGCTGGGCATGGTGGCACGTGCCTGTAATCCCAGCTACTCAGGAGGCTGAGGCAGGAGAATTGCCTGAACCCAGGAGGCAGAGGTTGCGGTGAGCTGAGATTGCGCCATTGCACTACAGCCTGGGTAACAAGAGTGAAACTCTGTCTCAAAAAAAAAAAAAAAAAAAAAAAAATCACGGAGTTTAGCCAAGGCAAGATGGCTCACACCTGTAATCCTAGCACTTTGGGAGGCTGAGGTGGGTGGATGACCTGAGGTCAGGAGTTCAAGACCAGCTTGGCCATCATGGTGAAACCCCATCTTTAAACAAAACAAAACAAAAAAAGAAAATAAAAAAGAAACCCCATATCTTCTAAAAATACAAAAATTAGCCAGGGATGGGGGTGCATGCCTCTAATCCCAGCTACTTGGGAGGCTGAGGCAGGAGAATTGCTTGAACCCAGGAGGCAGAGGTTGCAGTGAGCTGAGATTGCACTACTGCACTACAGACTGGGCGACAGAGTGAAACCCCACATCAAAAATAAATATACAAATAAATAAATCACGGAGTTTGAAAAAATCAGACTCTGTCTCCTCTCCAGTAAGTGTAATGTCAACAGAAAGTGCTCTCAGGTATGTGGGAGAGAAGA